TATCGATGCTAGATCAAATCACGTAGCTTTTGATAAAATTGTATTATTAAAGGTCTGCAAGTGAAGAAATTAATGTAGAGTAGAGTGATTAGGGCTTTCACTTCGGGGAAGATGACCATGGCACCAAAACGAGGGGCGAGTTCCCAAACGAAGTCGGTGTTGGCAGCGAACCATTCGATGTCGCCTCCGTTGCCGCAATAAAGGAAGATTGGACCCAAACGATTAGGGCCTGGGCCCACCCAGTGATCGGAGTTGATGAGATAACGTTGTTGGAACTTGGCAAGATCATTGAAGTTGAAATGATCAAGAGTCTGATCAAAGTATCGTATCTCGTAAGTGTACTTCGGCTGAACAAGAATGTTTTGGGTTTTGAGAAGCCGTGGGGATTTGCCGAGAAATGGAGGTGGCCGGCGAGATTCCGACGTTGATGAAAGTAGGCAGATGATTACGAGGAAGAATAAGAAAAAGGGTTTTGCCATGGTGGTGGAGGGTGGCGATGAAGAACAGTAGTGGCCGAAGTGAAGTGAAGGGTTCTTTATAAAAAGTAGCTAAATTTCCATTACATTCAAAGAAGGGAAAATGATTTAAAAAGGTAATGAAGTTTCAAAAATGTACAAAAAAGACCATTGTTTTTTTTTTTACACAAAATACCATTTTACCGGCTATTGTAGATTACCCACAAGGTTTTATTTGAACACATGTGTACTTTATTGGTATTTTGTGTATAAAAAATATACTTTGATGTTATTTTGAGTACTAAAAATAAAACAATCGTGTTTTTTGTACATTTTTGAAACTTCGTTACCTTTTTAAGTCATTTTCCCATCATATTAATAATAATTGGATTTATTATTCGCAACTAATCGATATATAATTTTTAATATTATTTGTTAGTTTCATTGGGTGTCTATTGCATTTGACTTTCAACACTAAATTATACTAACAATTTTATTAATTATCAAAATTCAAAGTTAAAAAATGGCACCTGCTAGTCCCTTTCTCATGTTGCCAACGATTGTCGTACTTTTAGTAATGATACTTCAGCTATATAACTTTTAGCCTATTATAGGAAAACATATACTTTAGTTCGCATTAAATTAAGCCACATGCAAAGCTGAATAAATTTTCATGTATAAAGTGAGGATCCGATAACTATGTTGAGTAGGTGTACTAGAATAATTTGAATCTTTCGGAACTACGGTAAGAAGACATTAACATGATGCTACCATCATCTCTTCTTGCATATAAAAAGGTTATTCGTACTTTTGATCACGAGCCAAATGTACATATATATTAAATGTTAACGAATTATAAAGTATATGTGATGGAAATTATTGACTCGTACAGTTATTTACAGATATGACCATATTTTTAGTTTTTTTACTTGTGGCAATTATTTTTGGAGTTTTTAATTTCCAAGCAGGCCGTCCCTAAGCACATGCGGCATGGGTTGCAATCGCATAGGACCCTGTCGTCTTTAATACATTACAGTTCCGCCACTAATACGTCGTTAATACATCATTAATTGTCGTTACTAATCCATCACTTGTAACTGCGTCGCTTCCGAAATTTTAGGGATCCATTTCACGGCCATAAAAATCAACTAGCATTGCTTCCAAGTGATTGCTACTATGCTACCTTGATGATGGTTTATTGATATGATTATGTAGATTTGATATATATATATATATATATATATATATATATATATATATATATATATATATATATATATATATATATATATATTATTTATGACTATTGTCATTGTGACAAAGTAAGATCGATATCTTATTATATGAAAGTTTATTCTAAATTTTCCCTAACCCCATCGTCGTTGGATGCCACAATGCCCCACCCCATGACTGGTCACCAATCATTTCCATCGTTGGATGCCACAATGCCCCACCCCATGTCACCAATCATTTCCGTTGTTGGATGCCACAATGCCCCACCCCAAGACTGGTCACCAATCATTTCCGTTCAACCTTGAACAATAAACGGAGTTGGTCCTCACCACACTCCACCCTATGTATGATATCCAAGATCAACCACAAGGATCATGTTCTCGATGACATAAAGGTAACATGCGTAGTCATTATGGTAAGTTGTTCAAGTTACATGCATGGGACACAAAGTTCTTCACCACTAGGATGATACGCTACGCCTGAATTGTCGATCCATCACTTTGATTCCGGTGGAGTTATGACCCTCTTTAGTTTTCGATGGTGTTCTTGCTTGGGTCCTCAAACTTGAATCTACAATATTTGAGGCATTGACTCAACTTAAACACTTGTTCCATATCAATAAAAGGGCACATGTCGCCGCCCTTGAACAAGAGTTTAACAATTTGACTATCAAAGTTACATCTATTAGGTATTCAACCACAATCACACAACTAAAAGATGAAAAGAAAAGAAAAACAAAACCAAAAAATTATGTGGTTCGCACGATTAAGATAATCGTGCTACATCAATGGGCGAACTAGAAAAATTAATCAGTTATATAGGTAAGATGTTTATATATATATATATATATATATATATATTATATATATATATATATATATATATATATATATATATATATATATATATATATATAGTTAGGATCTCTTGCGAACCAATATTTTCCCGTGAATCATGTAGACTTTTTATTGTGTGATTTTTCCTAAAAGTAACTTAAAGCATTAAGTCAGTCATATATGTAGCGCGCGCAGATTTGGGCTAGTTAATTTAGAGACGATGAACGCCAAAAATATATTTAGAATAAATAATCTTAACTAAGTTTTAGTATATGTCACAATGTTTCTATACATATAAAGAACGCTGAAATCCGAGTTATAACGAAGAAGTTATGACATGTAGAAGTTTCGCGACAAAACCAGGAATCATAAAAAGTGAGTTTATGATAAAGTACTTTTTAACCTTAGGGGTCTAAATAAAAGTTGTAGAGTATGTCTCCACCTACGCGTGAATATAAAGAACGTCAAAAACGGAGTTCGTATGCAAAAGTTCTGACCTTCCGAAGATGTAGCAGTCTAAGGGCATGACACGTGCCAGAAACCCTAATCAGCCTCAATTCCACTACTTGGAATTGGTCAAGGACACTAATCGAGGCTCGAAAAATATGTGCTAAGTCTATGGGAGTGATGTGTTAAGATTCCACGACGTGGAAATGTCATCCGAACCGAACACCTTTCGATGCTAGAACGCAGATGACAAGCCTACGAAGTGATTCAACAATGCTCCACAACATGGACATGTTTTTGGCAGCCTATAAATAGCAAGCTCGACCCTTTCTCTCCTTACACCAAATCTTCTTTCCTCTCTCTCGTTTGCTGAAGGCGTTCCGCGTTCCGAACCTGACGATCTCGAAACCGCTGACCGTTTCTAGTTAGATTCTATCTAATCATGCAACTAATGTGAGTGCATACTATTTTCATCTTACACATAGATATGAAGTATTTTATATAAATTACGTGCTATGTGTGCATATTATCTGTATATTTGCTATCTATGCTGGATGAACAATTTTATTCATGTTTTAAATGATTTAAATTGTATATGTATTTTGGGTAAAACATGGGTAGATGAAATATGAGTTGGATGATGAGATGAGAGGTGATATAGACTATGAGATAAGGGTGAGAGATGAACAATGAGAGAATCCTTTTACCCAAGTGTTGGCCCCGTCATCTAGCAGAGTCTAGATGACAACCACGACTATTCTAGACAGTCCAGTGGAACATTAGCAGACTCGCAATCTCTAGGTGTTGTGAACGATGTGTTCACCCGGTGTACTCTAAACCCTGGCGATTATGCAGACTTAGTGTCTAAACCCTGGTAACTATACAGACTTAGTGCCTAAACCCTGGTGACCGTGCATTTTTGTAAGGGAGTGAAACCGTGCGTAATGCCATAGCGTTGCTGAAAAAAATTGCACTCCCTCGTTACATCTTCAACTATAGATCCGTATAAACGTTGTACATTTTGCAGCGCCTACGAGAATAGTACCATTGATAAGTGACATTCTCTTGAAAATAATCTTGTACCAAACGTTGATTGGCTTCTTCACGATTTCTAAAAATATATATTCGTATTCTCCATTGAGAACTTTCAGCTGCGTTATTAGATAAAACATCATATGTTTGTTCTGCCATTTGAGCACACGTAACAATGGTATCAAAAATAACTTGAAATTCTTCAGAAGATGAAGAAGATGACATTTTGAGAGAGAAGAGTGAATTTTTTTTCTATTAATTTTAAGAGAGAAGGGTGATTTTTTGTTTGAAAAATAATGAAGTGGGGTAGTATAATTTATAGGAAAGAAAGGAAAAATGAAAGAAAAAAAAATAAAGTATTCGAAATTTTGACCGTTCAACAGTCATTTTCCCCATCAACCAATCACATTGCACGGCTATAAATTCACACTGCGGCCTAAACCGCAGGAGACTACTGTCAGGGGTCGGTGTGCACGGCTGAGGTGGCAAAACCACGGCCACTCCCTCAAGCCTTATGGAGATTGTTTGAGAGCTTAACTTGACTTCCCAATGTCTTTCTTGTTGGACTTCACCAACGCTCTCCTGATATACTTCACCTAACAAAGTTTTACAGTACGTCATGCTCTATTTCTAACTATGTTCATGCCAAGTATTTGTCTAAGTGCTCCCAAGACCTTAAACTTAAACTTTTGAGACAATTGTTTGTGTCTTTACCCACTTGATCTTCTTCATGTTTGATATATCTACCAACACGTCATTAACATATAATAACAAGATAATGTATGAGGAATCAAACTTATTCATGTAAAATCAATGATCCACCTCACATACCAAATACCCATTCCTCTATACGAAGTTGTAAAACCTTCAAGTATAGTTATCTTGGTGCTTGCTTCAATCCATACAAACCAAAGGCTTAGATACAAAACAAGAAGAATTTGAATTTGTTGAACGCTTTAATAATCAAATCTCATCTTTGCAACACCAAGTTTCAGTCAAAAAATATTTTACATTTAAATCATTATATACCCGTAACAAAAAAAAAAAAAAAAAAAAAAGATTTTCAACGAAGATCTAAAACATCAAATCTCAAAGTCTCGTTGATATAAACATGAGAACAATGCTCATAAATAGGGCTACCATCATCAGGCTCCTCGTGTGGATGAAACCCACGTTGATCACAGTTTCTGATTAAATTAACTCCACCAGGATCCGAAAGATGAAATATACCATGTGGGCTACAACATTTAATGAATTTTAAATTTGTATCAAGAATAATGTTTCAACTTTTAATATGAAAAGTAAATTCAAGGAGCAATAGTATAGTTGATTAAAAAATTACCAGGATTCATCAGTGGGAGCCATCACAATTGCAATTGCTTCCGGAAGCATAATCTGAGATTAGACAAAAAAAAAAAAAATAGTTTTGAATATAAATAAAAATTGAGCTAGTAAATGAAGTACAAAATATGTTGTATTTTACCTGATATGAGTAATGAGTGTGTAGGTCTACTGATGACATGAAACAGCTTTGTGTGGGGTGAGTCTGAAAAAAGATTAATGTTTTCATCATTATGCTGTGTATAATATTAAAGAGTAAATTACATTTTTGGTTCTTAAGTATAGCTGGTTTTTGCAATTTTGGTCCCAACACGTTTTCTTTCGCAGTTTTGGTCCTTATTTGAAGTTCTTGTAATGTTTTTTTGTCCCTGTTCCAAGTAAAATGACTATTTTGGGTCCCTTACTATAGCTGGTTTATGCAAATTTGGTCCAAAAAATAGTCATTTTACTTGGACAGGGACCAAAAGTGTTACAAGAACTTCAAATAAGGACCAAAATTGCAAGAGAAAAGTTTTTGGGAGCAAAATTGAAAAATCAACTATAATGAGGTACCAAAAAATATAATTAACTCTTATATGCTTATAGCAATTTTCGTCCCAAAAGGTTTTCTTTAAATTCTTGGTCCTTATTTAAAGTTCTTGTTAACGTTTTTGGTCCTTGTTCTAAGTAAAACGACTATTTTTGGCCCCTATGTATAGCTGACTTTTGTCCAAAAATAGTCATTTACTTGGAATAGGGACCCACAATGTAACAAAAACCTCAAATAAGAACTAAAATTGCAAGAGAAAACACTTTGTGACCAGAAATGAAAAAATCAGCTATACTCAGGGACCAAAAACGTAACTTACTCTAAAACAAAATAAAAGAAACATCCACTTACATGAATCCATCCAAGTTGGAAAAGGGAACGCTTATCTTGAATCTCAAAGATATCCTCTTCATTCAATGTTTGGCACTGAAGAGCAAAGTACAATACTTAAACTATTGAAAACACAATTATCAATTATCATATACTCCATAAGATGTAAAAAAAACAAGTTCTTACAGAATCAGAAGTTGACTCCTGTTTTGGTATTATAAGTGTAGTGATATTAAACACCCTGTTTTTCTACACTCACAATAAAATAAACCAATAATTACAAAATCAATCCAAAAAAAAATCTCCTTTATTCAAAACCAAATTAACCTTACCAAAAAACCCGCAAGAACACCACACGTTTCCAAGTTCTTTCTAGTATTTTCCTGAGCAAGTCTGAGAAAATCTTGCATCATTTTCAAAGGCTACACAAAAGTCAAACAAAACATTACTTTCTAAAACAGAAAATAAAACTAATTTAAAATAAAAAGAGCTTACAATATGCAAATGCTGGTAGCCATTAGCACTGGGTGTATTATCTTGAAAAGATTTTGCGGGTCCCGGTCTTGGATCAGCAACTCTTGTTGGAGAAATTGGAGTCTGCTGAGGTTGCACGCGAGCAAGAACAGGAGGGGGAGAAGGTTGTCTGATAATATTTTCGGAGAAAAAATCACTGCTGTCAAAATGTACACGTGGCTGCTGAGGTGGACGTGTCCAGCTACCATCGTCCAATGAGAGCACTGATTCCATAGTTGAGGTTGTTTCCATTCCTGAGTTGGCATCTTTATTGCTTGTAGTGTCACTTTGCACAGACTGAATTAAGCTATAACCACAATGGAATACAGTATAAATACAGGTTAAATAATAGGATAAAATTTTATAGTGGATAAAATAAATACTGACCTTAAATTTTCATGGGTATTTAAGTCACTATATGCTGGATATTGCACCTGTGTTTCATGTTATGATTTAGTTGATAATATAGATTAAAAATTAAAGCAAAAATGTAGGAAAACTGAATTACACATTAACTAACACCTTTATCTCTGTGTTAGGAGTTGACCATTGACCACGAAGACCATTAGGACCTAAAAGAGAATGTCTTGATAGTGTTTCTTGCTTGGGAGGTGGCAATAGAGAACTGTAGATAGGGGAAATTTAAGCATGTGTAACAACTAAGAGAATGAAAATTTGCATTTTTTATATAAATAGTTAAATACTTACAGCTTTTGAAACTGCATATCAATAGGACTTGATTGTAAATGTAAATTTTCATGAGTGGAGGGCAGAATGGGCTTTTTTAATGACTGCAATAAAATAGAAGCATGAGAGGTATAAAACAAATTAACAAACACCAAATTATATCTATTTGGATAAACATGACAGTTGCAGATATTACCTGATTACTATCTGATCTAAAAGGAACATTGTTGTTCAAATCTGGCAATTGAAAAGAACCCCTTGATCCATTTTGGTTTTTTCCAATGTCATTTTGTTGATAATCTTCTGTTCTTGAATGAGCTTTGTTCAATCCACCCACTTGACGATCAACTTCTGGTTTTAAAGATTCTAATTCATCTAACACCCCTAAAACTTGCTGAAAGAAGACAGAAAACAAAGAGTCAAAAAGCATGACCAATAACTCAAACTAAACTTTGCAAATAGTCAAATATAGTATGAAGGATGAACTATTCTTGAAGGTTAATGGACCATGTTATTCACCTTCTTGCAATATGCTCTTTCTTTTAGACATAACACTTGGTAATCCCGATGAAATCTTATAGTATCTAGGACCAAACTGCAAAGTTTCAACCACAGAGTAAACAAATGGTTAGATGTGAAATTGTAAGCATCATGTGGAAATATAGAATCCAATTTTGACTTTGTCTTTACCTTGAATATCTTAAAAGTATGACATACAAATCAATTATATTCTTTTCCTCACGATAGATTCGTGCCTGCATGTAAAGAGGGTTTGGTGAAGGTGTTCTAAAATGTTCCAATCACTTCATCCCACAACATAAAATCTTTACTTTACAAAAGTTGCAAGTATAAGCACACAAAATTCTTTGAAATGATAGAAATTGTATGACAAATTATCTAAACTTTAAACAACATGGATACCAAAGGAAATATAGTAAGGTATCAAACCTTAAAAGCACTCATTGATGGGGGAAAGCTCCACACAGGTGGTATTCTCATGGCTAGGGGTTAACTTATATGCCTACATCTCCTCTTTTGAGAATTGTTCTAAAAAGGTGTCACTATAGCTAGAATTGCATAATATTATCAGGCACGTTAAAGAGGTCTACGCATTTTGCAAATGTTAGATTTCGAGAGAGAAGAAACTCAAAAAACAGATCCTATATGAACAATCCTTTGTGTGAGCCGCTTTATACTATCATCAATATACTGAACACTAAAAGATCAATTCAATTATTTAGCACGACAATTGAGAAATCATCAACGAATTGAAGTGTTAAAGTAGGAAACAGAGTTCAAGATTCTAAACCCTAAGCAACATAACGATTAAATCAAATTGATCAGCTTAAAATTGAATCATGTGGAGTAGCAGTTGAAAGTTGTATTCGAAGCAAATAGAAACATGAGAGTTAAACAAACTGATGCATCATCAGTATTAAGCGATGACCTGTTTGAGAAGATTATCAGCGATCCGGTAATAGTTACGAAGAGGAATTCGATCGTCGACTTCCTTCTTACGAGCCATTTCGTTAACATCGATCCGCTTCGCGAGGGGAGGCCTCATACTTTTTCCGGCGAAAAAAGTCGGTTAAGTTTGAAAGGAATTTATCCCGGGAAGTGTCGCCGGAAGACCATACGAGACAATTTCGAGAATGAGCACATAAAGGAATCTTGTCAAGCAGGTAAACTAATAATTAAATCAGGGTTTTATAGAAAAATATGTATTTATTATTATTATTATTATTATTATTATTATTATTATTATTATTATTATTTACATTTTTTAACTAATAATTAAATCAAATGTTTTATAGAAAAATATGTATTTTTTATAGTTACTTATATTTTTTTGGAACTCTAGAAAGGAAAAAAGTTTTTTTTTTTAGAAAAGTCCTAGTTTTTTGAGCTAATTTACAACCCAAAAGTCAATGACGTTAAATAAAACCATTAAAGAGAGAAAGTTATGAAACACCATACATATTCATGTTTTGATAAATTATGCTATTAGAGAGGTATGAATGGTTCCTTCTTAACTTACTCTCACATCAGTTTTCACATCGGCTTTTGTTCCCCCTCTATCTTCCATATTTCCTAATCCACAACACATCCTAGGGATGAGATTTAAAACTAGAAAACCTTACCGAAATCGGAATATGTAAAATTGGTTAGGGTTTCGAGTTTAAAGAAAGAATTTATCAGGGTTTAGGTCCGTTGGGTCCGGGTAAATCGGATTTAAGAACCGGAGTCGGTTTAAGGGCCCGAACTGATTTTTGTGACAAATTTAAAACATGCATATCTTAATTGTTTGAAATCAGATTGACATACGTTTTTTTTCAATGTATTCAAAAGTCTTTGAAAAATCCTGCAATTATGCTCAAAAGACTAGAAAACACCCGATAAAGATGAAAGATAACAAAAAGAGAAAAAATGCATGAAGTCTAACTAAAATGAGATGAAATATGCTATAATAAACTAAGAAAAGAAGTAAATAAAATGAAACTATATGATGGATAGAGTGAGTGGACTATCCAAACCTTTGAGGATATGTAGTGGGCATGTGTATTGAATTTTGGCGGCAGCTGGGATTCGTATTTCCCATTAGCTGAGTTTTCGTACAACAACCATCATGCCAGTATTGATCGACCTCCTTTTGGGATGCTCTACGGGAGGGAGTGTCGAACCCCGGTTTGTTACGATGAGGTTGGTCAACAAGTTCTGGGTAACATGGAGGTGGTGCTCCAGACCATCGAGTTGATCCGACATGTGCGCAGGAGATTGCAGACTGCACACATCCGACATAAGAGTTATGTTGATAGATGCCGGTCAGATTTGGAGTTCCAGGTTGGGGATATGGTACTCCTGAAGGTGTCACCTTGGAAATGTGTCATCTGGTTCAGGAAGCGGGACAAGCGGGGTCCCAGATACATCGGTCCTTTTAGGGTTATTACTCGAGTGGAGAGGTGTAACGACCCAATTTTCAAAAGAAAATTTAAAATTTTTTTTATTAATCAAACACATTTCAATAAACCATGAAATCTCAAAACAACTGTTTTCAAATCCACATTCATTACAACTTTATTTTAAAACATCAGAGTATCTCGCAAAATGCTTGTGTGACAGTGCACGTCGTGCCATCATGCCTTGCCCTTACCCTTGGGATCCGACGTACCTGAAACAAATCCACAACCTGTACGTTAATGCTTAGTGAGTTCCCTAGAGCATATCACGCACACAATCCACATAACACATATCATATTAGCTATAAAGCTATACATACCACATAAGTCATGCATACATAAACCTGTAAGGATGTCGTGGGCTCCCTCCAGGGTCTTATACCTTCGTGTCATGGGCTACCCCACATGGTCTTTACTTGGGAATGCCATGGGCTACCCCACATGGTCTTATATCCAACTGCCACAGGCTTCCCCCGGGGTCTTTCATGCAATAACATACATAATCAACCTAGAATATCATATCACTGAAGCATCTAACATACTTCATACGTATACATAAACCTGTAAGGATGTCGTTGGCTCCCCCAGGGTCTTACACCATCGTGCCATGGGCTACCCCCAATGGTCTTTACTTGGGAATGTCATGGGCTACCCCACATAGTCTTATATCTAATTGCCACGGGATCCCCCCCCCCCCGGGATCTTTCATGCATTAACATACAGTCACTAGCATACCACATATCTCTACAAACGCTAGTGTACCACATAACATAAAATGGGCCGGCCTTGGTGCCTTAGACCCATTGGTATGGTGAGAAAACTCACCTCTGTTTGTAGAATCTGAAGGCTGCTCTCCTAACAATCCGTAGACACTCGTGTAGAACAATAATAATATTACCCAATGTTAGGATCAAACACCATCTAAGTGGGGAACCCAAATCCTTAAGTCCTTTCACAAAGGCCTAAAAGGTCTTTCTTAGCTAATGGGCCCAAAGTCCATATCCAAAGTCATTAATGGGCCTCATGGCCTAATAAAGCCCAATCATAACATATATGGTCCAAAACAAATAAACTGCCCCCTAACCCGAAAACAGGACTAGGCCCAATAACTAATTGAGGCCCAAAACAAATCCAAGCCCATCTGCTGTGCGTACGCTTAGCGTACCACCCTGGTATGTGCAACATACTGAGTCCTTGGGCCTTACGCGTTGCGTACGCTAGGTTACGACCAATGTACCAACATGTTAAGCACTTTCTCCATTAAGTGCTTAATACTCGATTTTCTCACGTCCAATAGTCAGATCTAAGCTTATTAAGATGACCTAGGGCATAAAGTTGGCAACTCCCCATTAAGACCTTTTAAGGTTTCTAATCCATGTATGAGGTCACACCACCCATCAAGACTTCATTTTTATGTTATAAATGGACCAAAGGACCTCAGATCTAACATTTCCAACCTCTGGAGTTGCTCAACTCACAAGAGGATATCCAAAACCAACAAAAGGGACCAAACTAGAAAACCCTAACTAGATATAATGAATAAGATGGAAAGATCAAAGCTTTATACCTCCAAAAGCTCCTCAAAGTGAACTAGGTGCAGATTCTTGAAGCCCAATGTCACTCCAAGCTTGCTTGACAACTTCTCCTTCTTGAATGGACACTAAAATGGCCCTAAATGCACTCTTTAAGCTCAAAAATGGGCTCACAAACTCTCTCTAGAGTAGAAGGGCGAAATATGGTTGTGGAGGCTATCTGTCTAAGTGGCTTAAGGACATTGAAAGAGGCCTCAAGTTCGGAAATTAGGGGTTCTAGATTTCCGTCACATATGCCCAACGTACTCCTGGTATGCCCAATATACATGCTGCCCCTCCACGATCCTCCTTGCAAAGTACGCTAAGCGTACCCATAAGTACAAACAACGTACTTAAGGGACTTATTATGATATATTTAAAATTCTTCAAGGGCTTCAAGGTAATACCTGATTTGGAGTGTTACAACTCTCCCCCACTTGAACTAGATTTCATCCTCGAAGTCCATAGTTGTGAATAAATTGGGATAATGCTCCCGCATCTCCTCCTCTGGCTCCCATGTCCATTCGGAGCCCCTACGGTGTTTCCATTGCACCTTTACAACCTTTACTTCCTTGTTTTGAAGACCCTTTGTCTTCCTGTCTAAGATGGCAACCAGCCTCTCGATGTAGTTCAGCTCCTACCTTCCTGAATATCGTCCAGTGAAATGACTGCGTACTTGTCATTGACACACTTCCAAAGTTGAGACAAGTGGAAGGTGTTGTGAATCTAGCTAAGCTCCTCCGGCAGATCCAACCGATATGCCACCTTGCCCACTCGG